TAAAAAGACATATTTCTAGAGAAGATCTTTTTGAACTTACATAGTATTTACTTCATCTTAATATTCTCATTTAAAGACTTTGATTGATTGAATTAAACTTGTAAAAATATTGTATTCATCAAAGTTTCTCATTTCTCTCTTATTACTTGATTTATTATAATCATTCATTGAAAGAGAGAGATATTTTGAGAAGATTATTTGAATTTACATTGCGTTTAATTCTTCTCCATCTTCTCATTAAAACACTTTGATTGGTTGAACCTAATTTTTTATTATTATTTTCATCAAAATTTTTCATCTAACACTTGAGCTATCATTTGTTGAGTGAATTGTCCAAATGGTCACTGAACTTTGCAAAAGGTTTCCAAGGAGCGACTAAACTTTAAATGGTCAATGAACTTTGTAAGAGGTTTCTACGGGATCACTGAACTTTAAAAATAACATAAATGGTCACTGAACTTTGCAAAAAGTTTCTCAGGGGTCACTGAATTCATCATCTACATCCAAAAAGCCGTATGCTTTGGAAGAAGCTTGTACAGTTTCTCCACGGTCCACAGAGACAAAATGTAGGACTGGTGCCAATAGTTCATCACGGAAGAAATAGAATTGATTGGGTGGTAGAGTCATGGAAACGCTTCTTGGTTGACAATAAGCTCTTTCAAAATTGACTATTTGTCCTTGAATGAGGCCAGGGATGAATCGAAAAAGAAATCTTTATTGGTTCTACCTCCTATTTTTATGAAGAGAAAAAGATTCAATGACCCTTGAGAAACCTTTTGCAAAGTTCGGTGACCTCGTGCAAACCTTTTGTAAAGTCCAATAATTATTTAGGTGATTTTTAAAGTTCAGTGACCCCGTAGAAACCTTTTGCAAAGTTTATTGGCCATTTAGGTAATTTTTAAAGTTCGGTGACCATTTGGGCAATTCACTCTCATTTGTTACTATTAATTGAAGTGTTAGCCTCTGTTAGTACTTAATTTGTTTTATATTATTTATTAAGAGATGATTTGATTGTAAAATCACTTTAATAAAGTGTGGGTCGTATCGAGGTCCCGAAAAGCTTAGCATTGTATAAGGACTGACGCTCCTTGTTGTAAGTCATCGTACGGGTCATATTGAGGTCCCGTAAAACTCAATAGTGTGGATCATGTTGAGGTCTCGTAAAGCTTGACTTTGTAAAGGATCAGTGCCCCTTATTTGTAAGTTATCGAAAGCATTGTAAATGGTTGGATTACACCATAAGTCAATCACATAGTGAAAAAGGCTTTGCTTGTGCCGGAGAGTTTGGTAATGGAGGACGTAGATCATTGCTTTGGATCGAAACTCCACAATCATATCATTTGCATCATCTCTCCCTTTTACTTATTGCTTTTATACTTGCGCTTATTATTTGAATTTATCTATTTAGTCTTTACTTGCTTTCTTATTTGTGCCTTTATGTTTAATTATCTCATTTGCTATCATATTGGTTTAAATCTAGAATCGATTTTCGAAAAAGTTTTTAAACACTAATTCCCCCCCCCCCCCCGATTAATAGCCTTACTCAGCACTTTCCATGAGCCCAAATTTCTTGTCATTAGTCAAGTGAATTGTACAGCTCACGCTCTTGCAAAGGAGGTTATTTTACATTTACGTAATAGTGTTTGGCTTGACCATCCCCTATTTCCATTAATTACATAATTAGACATGATTGAATAAATATTAATAGAAACCATTGTGTATATTTTGAAACAAAGGCATCTCAACTTTTGGAGTCCTTTACACTTCTATTCTTAAAATATGTATACAATATTTTAGTTACAAGTCATTCTATGTGACAATTTGTCATTTGATACATTAATTTGTAATTTGAGTGAGGCAACAAGATTATAAAATTTAACGTCTCAAATAATAAGCTAAAATATAGGATGACTGCTATAATTGCTAACCATGAATATCTTTATTCTTTTAGTTATTTGTCACCCTTTTTCTTATTATCAAAACCTGTTCAAAATTTTAGTTAAATCCCCACTAACACCTCACATGATGAAAAAGTTGAGAGCATTTATGTTTAAACAATATATTTCTTTTTATAAATTAAAAACAATAGATAAACTACTTTACACAAAAAAGAAAAAGAAAAAATGAATTACATATAAACCTTCTATTCCTCCCAAAGGGGGGAAAAAGGAAAAGGGAAAGTGAGAATAGAAAACCCCCCCCAGGGGGGGGGGGGGGGGGGGGGGGGGGAAGGAAAAGGGAAAGTGAGAAGAGAAGAAAGCCTTTCACCTAAAATAAAATAAAATAAAAATTCAAAATTGAAAAAATCAAATACTCACTCCATTCTATTTATATAGGTTTACTTTCCTTGTTTTCTTGTCACAATTATATAGTCTTGTTTCTGTATTGAGCTTGTTTTATTTAGTTCGTTTACTGATATACCTTTATATAATGTGCTAGTTATGACCAACTTTTTCACTTAATTTTGAAATTGTACAAATATAAATAGGGAGTAAATTATACAAGTTATTAGCAAAACTTATATTTTCAACAATATTAAATAAGATTATATGTATGAAAAACAAAACGAGCTTATGTAAATGGGACATGCGGAGTATACATAACTTTCTTCTAAAAAAGGAAAAACAAAAAGATAATTATATTACCACTACAAATTTTAATTACGACGCCACGTGATAACCACACCACAATTTAATATATTTTTAATAAATACACCACTACAAATTTACAATTATACTCCTAATTCAATAAAAACAAAAAATGAAGAAAAATAAAAATTGTGGTGTAATTATCATCTAATATAATTCCTCATTTTTCTCAACATTTCCCCTTATATGCTTCAACCAGTGACAACATTCCTCAATTGCATTTTGTAAATTAATAAAACTATCAAAGTTAAGATATGGCAGCTAAGTGCATAATTTCAGGGAAATTTCATATACCAGACAGTAAACAATCCCAATTTCATATTTAAGAGTTTAAGGTTATTGTTTCAAATATCAGAGAGTCTTGTGTGTGTGTGTGTGTGTGTATGTGTGTGTGTGTGTGTATATATATATGGAGAGAGAGAGAGTAAACCGTTACAAACCAATCCCTTAAATCAAGCTCTAGATTCCTTCTGTGACTAGACTCTATGATTAGAAACTTACTCCATAAAAGCAACACCATTATTCACGCAGAAGGTTACAAAATATTTACACAGAATTTGTCTCTCTCCATTCCTTTCTACCGTCGCTGAAATCGTAGACCAGTTCTCGCCGATTTGTGTCAATAGCATCAAACAAACCCACTAAGACGGTGACTCATCTACGTTGCAGATCTACAGAAATATAAGGTACATAATGTTTTTTTGTTTATGGTTCACCACAGAATATTACACGGATTGTTCATTTCTGTAACCTAAGTTTCCATGGTTTATGTAATCCAAAAGTGTGTGACCGTCTAACGCTTGTCAGAAAGAAGTGTGTCATCCAAAAGTGTGTGATCGTCTGTAACTTAAGCACAATTGATGCATGTTGATAAAAAGTGTCACACAACCTTTAATATCGTTGTGTCTCGCAATATTCAGTTGACATTAATTTTCCTTGTAAAATTGTGCAGGATGGAGTACGTGCATGTGTGTTTGTTACGTGGATCACAAGTGTCGTTGCTTATGGTTGATCGCAATTGTAGTTTTATGAAGCTGGTGAACAGTGTCGTCAACAAGTTATGTTTGGATCAATCAAAGGTAGCGGTCACACTTAAGTATGAACTGACAAGTGATCTCCCCCAAGTGTTGATAAAGAATGACAGTAATGTAAATTCCTACCTCGTGCTGAAGAGCTTGAATTGTGACCCTTCAAAATATCCATTAACCGTTGAGGTCACAGCAGTGGATGGACATGAAAAACCATTTGAAATTCCGGCTAGTGTACGTACCAGTGAAGATATGTTTTCATTGGTTGATATGTCATCCAACATATCTAACGCAGCAATTGAAAACATGGGTCACATATACGAGAGTGATGTGGCAGTGGTTAATGTGGCCTATGGAATGGCAATAAAAGTTGGAAGGATATTTTGGAATAAGGAGACATTGAAAATGAGCTTGGCATTCTATGCAATACATAATATGTTTTGAATATATGGTCGTTCGTTCAGACAAGAAGGAATATCTTGTAAGGTGTTCCTGAGAGAAGTGTAGTTGGATATGTAAATCATCCAAAATGAGTGCAACAGATATGTTTAAGATAAGACGGATGGCTAATGGTCACACATGTGCTGCAAATATAGTATTAGGGGCTCATAAACAAATGACAGCATCAGTTGTGTCCACGTGCATCAGATACACTTACAATTCATCCCGAACAAGGTACACTCCAAATGATATACGCAATGACATGTTACACAATTATAGAGTCTCATTAAATTATGTAAAGGCCTAGAGATCCCGAGAAAGAACATTGAAAATGCTTAGAGGTGATCCAACGGATTCATTCATGAAGATACCAAGCTTTTTTTATATGTTAGATCAAATGAATCCCGGTACGGTCACAGGATTGGAACTTGACAGTCACAATATATTCAAATACTGCTTCATGGCAATAGGTGCATCAATTAGAGGATGGCAACATTGTAGACCTGTGATTGTAGTTGATGCAACGTATTTGAATGGACATCATGGTGGTACACTGTTCACGACATGTACGCAGGATGCGAATAATAGCATATTCATTCTTGCATTTGGGATTGGGGACAATGAGAACGACAAATCCTGGACATGATTCTTCGAACAATTGAAGAGGGCATACAGAAATAGGAAAGGTTTATGTTTTGTATCAGATCACCACAACAGTATCAAGAATGCAATAGAAAAGGTGTATCTAGGGACATATCATGGGATTTGCTCATACCATCTATTACAGAACCTAAAGTCATAGTTTGGCAAGTCGGGTCACAATATAACACAGGCATTCAACTCGGCCGTTCGTGTATACACCCTAGCAGAATTTGAATATAACATGCGGCAGCTTGATTCAATTAATCCGAAGATTACAGCCTGTCTTGTAATTGTCTATTGATAGTCACATTAACATACATTCTTCTATGTCGCAAAAAGGATGTGTATATCATTGTTATTATTTGTCCTTGCTTGTAGGCCGAAGTAAACCTCGAGAAATGGTCAAGATTTCACATGCCAACTAACCGGTATTATATAATGACTTCGAATATAGTAGAATCTGTGAATGGAGTGACAAAAACTGCGAAGAACTTCCCTGTTGTGGCTCTATTGGATTCTTTGAGACAGACTATACAATCTTGGTTCTGTAAACATAGGGACAGCGTGTCCGGTACTTTCACAAAGCTGTCAGGGAATTACGAGAAAATTTTAAGGGATATGAGTTATGATTTGAGAAACTTCACGATAATGTTTGTATTTGTGACCTGTCATTCACGACTATAACTTATCCTCTAATTTGAAAGTAGGTTGACATTAACTGTCACTGGAAATGATCTAGTTTTGTGTCATGATTTGCAGGTATCTCCTACAAATCAAACTATTTTTTCTATTTGTGGTGATAGCTCATCATTTATTGTTGATATGGAACAACGTACGTGCACATGCTGGACATTTCAAGTGGAACAATTACCCTGCCCGCACACCCTGGCCGTTATTGCAATGATGAAGATGGATGCATATGATTATTGTTCATACTTCTACACGAGGGATGCATACCTCAATGCTTATAAACACACAATGTTTCCAATTGGAAACATCAATAAGTGGACAGTACTAGATGAAGTTGTAAATGTAGTTGTGCTGCCACCAAACTAGAATAGAAGTACAGGAAGGCCATTCGAAAAGAGGAAGAGATAATCTTGTGAAGGGAAAATCATAGTCAAGTGTGGATGTTGTGGTGGAAATGGTCACAATCGCAGAACATGCACTAGTTTGGTTCCATTAGGTCAAAGTTAATCGAAGGAGTATATGACTAGAATTAGTATATGGGTAAATTCAATACAGTGTATGACAAATGAACATGCAAAACAGTCATTTGTGACTTCGTCATTAAACCTATGCCTTATTGGATGTCACATGTCTTGAATCCTAATGCTGATCATGAAGACGTATAAATGGCATCAAAATTATAATATGTGACCGCGTTGTGATTTAAAAAACATAAAATCTGAGCAATTAATGACATATACATTTGTGTGTTTTTTTTGTTTGTTTGATAAATGGTTGTAACCTGTCACCCAGATAGGTAATTTGCGATCCCGGCATAATATATAAGTAGATAAAAAATATTTTGACACCCATTTATATATATATTTTTTACTAAGTAATGTGTGTGACCTCCTTGAAAACGTAATTTGTGACCGTAATGTGATATGCTAGTGGGATTGTGAACATAATGTGTTTATGACCTATGATCCCAACATCTTATACGTGCGAACTTGTTGCAAATTGCACTTGTGATGGTAATATAATATGCAATTGTGATCGGGTATATACTATCTGTGACCTGTGAACTGCAATGCTTTTGGGATCCCAACATAATATACGTGTGGCATGTAGCACTGTATCTGTGATCATAAAAAGGGTATGAGATTGTGATCATTTACGTACTGTCTATGACCTGTGACTTGCAATGCTTTTGACATCCCAACATAATATACGTGTGACATGTTGCACAATGCATCTATGACCGTAAAAAGTTATGAGATTGTGAACATGTGTACACAGTATATGACCTATGACCTGGTATATACTGTCTGTGACCTGTGACCTGCAATACTTTTGGGATCCCAACATAATATACGTGTGGCCTGTTGCACAATGCATATGTGATCATAAAAAGGGTATAAGATTGTGACCGTTTACATACTGTCTGTGACCTATGACCTACAATGCTTTTGACATCCCAACATAATATACGTGTGGCCTGTTGCATAATGTATCTGTGACCATAAAAAGGTATGAGATTGTGACCATGTATACACAGTTTGTGACTTGTGACCTGGAATGCATTTGTGATCTCAACATCTTATACCTGTGGCTTGATTCTAAATGAGTCTGTGACCAGACTATGATATACATATGTGACCATACGATAAAATATGTGTGTGACCTATGTACGGAATTAACAACAACACTGATCTGTGACCTGGCATTCATTTGTGAACTGTAATAATGATTCCATTCGAAAATAATTCTTCCAAAGTAAAGACCAACTAACAGAAACTAATAAACAATAAGTAATTGAAATCTGCCTTGTACCAACATATAGTACGGCATATGTGACATAAAATATTCTACTTAAACATAAAACGTCAAAAATATTCATCTAGATAACAAAAAAACTAAAAATTACAAATGGTCCTTCCATTACAAATGTGACATCAATAATCATAACATTTTCGAATATCATTCTATGACTATACTCCCCTCGACCTTTTCGTTTCCTCCTTTAGTTGCCTTTTTGATGTCACGATGTTTGTACAGCTGTGCGGCTATGTCCAACCTGGCTTTGGCAGCATCAAACTCTTTGGGCATGGACTCCAAGCCATCATGAAGAATGTATTGAGCATACTTGATAACAAATATACCGTAGTCGTGGCTGGAAAAGATGTAGAAAGTTCGTTAGCTTTCACATCAACAAGGAGGTCACACTTACAATGTTTTTGAAAACATATAAATTGGCAGAATATGAGATGATGGTAAGTACCGTACCCGTTTTGCTATTGTGGAACATCATAACCTAGCACGATCCTCAGCTCCATAGAATCACCTTCATCATTATCTGGATCCTTGGTCCATAATTCAATCGCTCTCATCAGGTGAGGGATGACTCAAACGAATGGTTCAACGCCGACACGAATGCGTAAATCTGGGTATGTCCCTCTAGCTAAATTGAATATAGACATCGCACGTTCTTTTATGTCAAGAACAGCCAACATCCAATGAGCCTTGTTCGTAGGCAAGATTGGCATCAAAACTCGGTCTACTTCAGACTATGGACAGCTCAATGGTAGTCGGACACCTGTCACATCATTGATGAGCCATGTATCAGTCATTAGAACATTTGGATCCTTCTTGAATCGAGGATAGACATGCTTGATGATAGCCTGAAAGTGGGAGTCCATTGTGGTGGCCTTGTTCTTGACATTCTCCCCATACAATGCCAGTTGACGTATATAGTAAAAGCAAGAGTCCATGTACTGTTACATGAAACGGGAAAAAAATTAGCATGTTATCATTTGTGTGACCTGACATGCATTCGTGATGTGCACTTGTGATCTGTGACCTGATATGCAATTATCTCTATGGCTTCCATATTTGTGTGACCAACATACAAAATTGACAACATCAATATCTATGAACGATGTGTCACCTATTATGCTTACGTGGGATGAATGAAGTATATCTGTGACTTGAATTAAATACCTGTGACCTGACTAAATTTTTTTGTGGTAAGGATATCAATGTCTGTAATCATCCCATTCACCGTGTGCACGATAAATCATGAGACATTAGTACATCATGCTTCATAAAGTCAGAAACATTATTTGTGACCAAATGTTACCGTGTTTATAAGGGACGAATCTGATGATACGAGGTCATGCCACCAAGTTTTACTGCCGGTAACGAATGTTCCAATACAGAAAGGAGGCTTAATAACATTGTCGAGATTGTTAAATTTTTTCCTATGAGATAAAAAAGAATATCAGTAAACATTAAATCATCCATAGGAAAATTTAATGCTGGGAATGTATTGTCGAACGTACTTACTTGTTTGTTGGTTTGTAACCTCTGTGAAACCAACTCTTCAATGCAGCAACATCAGCATCGTCAGAATGTTGATTGTAGAGACGAAAGACTATTATATTGTCCGAGCTCCTGCTATGTTTTCCTTCGTTAGAAACGAGTGGGGACTGCAATTTACGCGCGGGTCTGGAAACCTGCTTCAATAGCAGTTCAGATGACTGTGTTAATGTCGGAGATACCTCTCATATAATGAAGTATTAATCACAAGAGTTCATGTGTGACCAAGTAATATCTAATCTAATACTCATTTTCTAACTGGTGATTTGGAACAAGTCACCTTCTTATCAGCAACTTCCGTGTCTGCCACTACACGGGACGTTATAGTATCAGTTTGTTCTTGTAATTGATGTGTTTGAGGCATATCAGGGTTGTTAGATACATGTTAAGTAGGCTGGGTGCAACCAATCTCCAAATCAAATGATGGCAGTTTCAAGTTCATTGGGTCGAAAGTTTGCATATCGGGGTACATTTTTCCCTTTCCTTTTCTGTCAATAGATGCGTCAACATTTTCGCCCTAAACGAGACACAACCATTAAAAGTTAATAAGTGCACCAACATCTACGTAAAATGACCTTGTAAATAGATAAACATACCTCTCCTAATTGGATGCAGCTCAAGTGCATTTTGATTCACCTATCTCTTTGAACATGTCCATTATTTGATCCATCAAGCTAGTTACCATTGTGGTCACAAAATCAGATAGAAATTTCAGATCTGACTTTATCTCTAGCAGGTCATTCCCGATATTCTCTTGCACACATACAACGATATTGAGCTTGTGACTACTGTCAGCCTTTATGGACAGTAACTGTTTCCTGACATCATCAATTTTCGCAGACAACTTCGTATTCTTATTTCAGAGATCAGTAACATCATGTTTCAAAAGCTGCAAAATGGAAAGCATCTGAGAATAAGTCAACTACATGTATAGCATAAGATATTGATGCATTAATATGAATGTGACCCTACATACTGGACTGTGACCTACATATTGTGAAAGGTCACAAAAAAATAAATCAATGTGGCGGCAGACAGATGCATGTATATATGACTCATGTGCAAAAATTGCGTCACATTTGTGTCTACTGAACGACAATGTACAACGTGGTCAGAATTTGTGACCAAGATTGAGGCCACACATATGAAAAGTATGGATATGGACGTACTTCGAAATTAGTTGTATATGCTGCATGGGGTGGAGACATATGAGCGGATGCACCCTCATCCTTCGGTGACTCCACATACATCTTGTCCGGCTCCATCGGAGGGTCCATGGAAGAATGGTCGGGGAGTGATGTCCGTTGTCGTCGCAGAGGTGGATCAACGAAATCATCGTCGTCGTCGTCAATTTCGATATCACTCAAGTGACCTAATCGTCCATCAGTAATCATTAGAATGTGTGGCTTAGACTTCTTCATAGTTCGGTTGATCTTTGAGCTTCTACCGTGGCGTGATAACGATGGTTGTTGTGGTTTGTTATATAGAACACTATCCATACACGGCTGCACCATCTCCATCTCAGATGGATTGATGTCCTAAACCTGGAGCTATTACAACAAAATAAGGTAAACTAGTGGTCAGAGCCGAATGAATAAACATTGCATAATGTGGATTGTGACCAAAAAATGAATAACTGTAACCAGATTATTACACTTGTGGCATTTGCAGCACAACAGAAAAATATGGCCTTAGCTATGTGAATGTGACAGTATAATTTATCGTTGACGGTAGAGCGAAGAAAGTGTAATGTGACTACATGGTTTGAAGTCTGACCTAATCTGTGACCAGATCAAGTAATAAACAATCAAGTGAAGACTGACATCGGGCACGGAGAACACGTCCTCTTTGAGTTTTGAAGCAGACGATAGTTTATCTGAACTCTAGTTTAGTATAAGTGGGTAATTGCTTCCAATTCTAGAAGTGACAGCCCCGTTAAGCCGATTAATAGACTCATAAATCCAAACTTGAAATGCAACAAGAAATCCTTTGAGTCTATAATGGGGATTTCGATTCTTCAACCCATCTTTCAAAGAGGTTATGGAAAGATCAAACAACTTTTTTGCAAACGGAAACATCTCCAACCTCTCAAAATCTTCAACAAGAGCGAACAAATAATTGTCAACAACTTTCTTGTACAAGGTTGAAAAGAGGTATGAAGTTATCAAATAAAGAATCCCAACTTTCACCACTTCATAATCGTCCTCATTTCTCATACCAATGAATATATCTCTAACATCTTCGTTTGTGACTACATACCTGTCCAAAAAAATTTCCTTAATCTTGGAATGTGAATTCTGAAGACTTCTCCTAACATCATGACCATGGTATCTAAGACCTATGGCCAGACAAAACTCAGGCAACGAAAAATATAAATACCTGCCACCTACCAAAAATCACATCTCTTTCTTATTTGATTGCTTTACCTCTCAGAGTAAAAAATAATGAATTAGTTGGGGTTGAACAACTATCTCCTTACATCCACAAAATAGTATAAGCATGTCCCAGACAAAATCTGTTTCTGTTCATCGTTGAACTTTGATATAAAATTCGACAGCACGTTCTTGGTTGCATTTGTGATAATTTTACTGGGAAACCATGCAGATTTCGGTATAATATACTGCCATTCCTACAATAGATGAAAACAGTCGCAAATTAGAACACAACATTTGATACATAAAGTGAGTTTGTGTCACACAGAAAGCAATTGTCATGAAAAAAAAAAACTTGGTTCATGGACGCTAGAACTAAAGTCACACAGAAAGGAATTGAATCCACTTATGTAACCACCCATGCAAAATGCACCCACAGAAATATAGCAAAAATGCTTTGTTCATTGACCATAGGACTAAGATCACATTCAAGATCGAATTATAAAGAAGAATGCAACAACACATACTCCAAATTCATCATCAAAACAACTGAAACTCTTTCCCATAATTGTGGGTCACATTGCAGATCTTGAATAGGCTTATTCAAGGAGTCATTTGGTCACTTTCGAGGGCACAAACAGGAAAAAAGCATACTGACCACAAAATGCCCAAAAAATTCCATCTTTACCACAAGTGTTGGGTCACAATCAGACACAAAATCATCCATAGTGACACAAATTGCAATGCAAAAAGGGTTCTCGTGCCCAATAACGTGGGGTGGCCACAATCAAATTGTAGGACATACACTCCATAATCTTTTTTTTTTTTTTTTAATTCTTTCTCTAATTATTGTATTGTGGTGACAATTTCAATATATGTGTGACCACCCATGACACACACACCCAACAAATGTGAAGCACGAAATTTCAACTAACGGAATCATTCAAGCTACCGATTTACCTTTCGACCATGAATGCGCGATTTAAATGAGGTACCGGAACCAGAATCAGGCATCGACACTATAAACCTTTCATGATTTTTTGTTTCTATGCATTTCTTCTAAAACTCTCACCAATGTTTGGCCGACTTTTCGGATCAACGCTCCTTGTTAAAACCATTTTCAATGTCTGATTTCACGAACCGACAGTAGCGTCGCTTGAAGACGCACGGGTCACAGTGCGTTACAAACCCTACTTCTTACAGTATACTTTTCGGTTTATGGAGCAGCATGCCATGATATTGTGGCTGGATTAGAGGTTTGATGTGAGACGGTTTTCAATTTTTTTCATGTAATGGGAGTTAATTATGGATATGTATAATATTCTCCCTCCTGTTTGATGTATATCTATTCAATCTTTCCAAATGACACGTCAACTGATTTGGGTAACTGATATATATGTGTGTATATTAATTATTATATATTTATCTATTTAAATCTCTGACTTTTGAAATAATCAAACTATTATATGATTTTTGAAATGTAATCTCAAAAATTCTTATCTCACGTAATTTCCACTAATTTCGGCCCTGATGGTTTCAATTTGTAGTGCCATATATGTATGACATTACCATCTCATGAAAATTTTCGAATGTATTACTCCAAAAAAAAATTCAAACAATGAACGATTGAAAGAGACGGACAAGTTCCAGACTTGGCCACGCATGGCTGATCCGCCGGTGGTCGTGAACCCCGTATCCCGCCAAAATTTTACTTGGGCCCTTGCTCTTTTGTTTGACTTTTGTTAAGCAAGATAAATCACAATAAATGTTAATAAAAAAACTAGAGAAATTAAAGTGCCGAGAAGTTATCTTTCTAATTATGACACTTTTGATGAGCTGAAACAGGAGAGAACTCACAATTAGGTAATCAGAATAGACTTCCACGTAGTATGCTTTTGATTCTTTTAATTTCATAATAAATATGCTCAAATTAAAAAAAAAGTCAAATTCTTAATTTTTCGAACTTGACAAATAAATTTAAAATTTTTTTGATGTAAATTTTGGTCAAATAGAGTATTCATTTAACGCGAGAAAAAAATTATCTTGCCGTCGTAAAAGAAAATAAAACACATCGAAAAAACTATGAGCAATGTAATGTTGAGAAAAAAGAAAAAAGAAATCAAGTTTTATATTTGTGGTGTAACAATGATTTATTTAATTAAAAATATATTAAAATCTTAATTATGTAATTTTACTTAAAAATATTTAAGTAAATAAGAAAATTGTAGTGTATTTAATAAAATTTGTAGTGATAATATAAAAGTGTTTGATTGATATAATTTTTTACTTGAAAAATGTTGAAATAAAAATATTTTTTGTTGTTCGTTTGGTTTTGTTTTATATGAAAATTGTCAATTAAAAAGATAAAATTTATTGGTATTGGGGATAAAATTTGTTTCTATTATCAAAAGAAAAAAATAAAGAAAATCATTTGTCTTTTGGTGTTTGTTTGATTTTATTTTATATGAAAATTGTCAATTAATGAAAATATTTTTTTAAAATAATTTTTAGAATTTGTTTCTATTGTAAAAAAAAATGAAAAAGAAAAAAGAAAAAAATCTCGCTACAGTAATTGAGAATTAGAATTCTCACCAAACTGGAAATTGGCTTATGTGGCAAGAAATGTGGAAAATAAAATTTAGGGAAAATTTTGTCAATTAAATAACAAAAAATTTGAAAGATGACATTTCAATTCCATTTTCCTTGGAAACTCAATGCTAATCGAATATGGCCTAATTATTCAAAACGAAAAAGAGAGAGAAGAAAAGAAAAGAAAGCCTTTCGCCTAAAAAATTGAAATTGAAAAATCAAATATACATAACTTTCTTCTTCCGTTAGCTGATATTCGATAGACGATCGCAAAAGCATTACCTTTCTCAATCTCTCACACTTTTATGGGAAAATCTCTTCCTACTCCACCCAGACTACAACAACTCGCTCGAGTCATCACTTCCAATAACAGGCCTCGCCGCCAATCCCAGCTCAGGCCCGTCTTCAAGACCCGCCCAATTACGTCCCCTGAGCGCACTGGGCTCAGACCAGATTCGCCTGAGCAGCTGAGGTTAAACAAAAAGAATTTAAAGATGGAAGCGGAGAACTCGGAGCAGCGGGGGCTACCTCTATCGGAGGTGGTGGCGGACTGTGTGAAGAGGTGGTTCCAGGATACACTTAAAGAGGCCAAGGCTGGTGAGACGGCCATGCAGGTGCTTGTGGGCCAGATGTATTGTAGTGGATATGGCATCCCCAAAGACGCGCAGAAGGTATATTTGATTTATTATCCCAATTCATCCCCATATTGGCCAAAGTTCCCCCCTTTTATATGTATGTTTAATGGTTGTTTAAAGATTTCCTGCGGTGTTTGTGAATATAAATAAAGAGAGGAAATTGGTGAAAGTAATAATGGGTTTTGTTTTTCATGAGAATTGGTAATGATTTAATTACAAGTAAATGTCATTAATTTATTCATACGATTTTGCTAAGAAAGTTGATTTTTTGTATAATTTTCTGAGAAAATATGTGAGCGCTGAGCACTCAATTCTTTATCACTTTCACTTCTGCCTTGATAAATTCATGTAATGAAAGACATTGAAGTGTGGAATACATATAAGATTTTATTTCGTGTAACTACCTTATGGTTTATGCACAAGTAGTTTGATTTTCTATTTTTGATTTAGGGAAGAGCTTGGATTAATAGGGCTTCAAAAAGCAGATCTTCAGCTTGGAAAGTTGGAGATAAGCATCCAGGTCTCATTCTTTCTGGTCCTCTATCTCTGCTAATAGTAATAGCAGTCGTCCTGTTTGTTGCTTCTTAATCGTTCATCTTTTTCTCTTGCTTTTTAGGTTATAATGCAAGTGACTCGGATTCTGATAACTCAAAGGAACTTGCCAAATAGAAGAAGGAGTGGTTTTCAGTGACAAAGACAATGACAAGGTGAGATGAATTTTCCTCCAAATTTGTGGTTATCATGGGGGGCACATTTGATAAGTTGATTTTGATGTAACAAAACAATAGATGTTTTGAGGATATTAGATTTCCTTTATTTATGTTTATAAATTATTTCTTTTATCCTGTATCTTGTGTCTACACACTCCAGTCATTTTTTTAGAATTATTTGCAAGAAATATATGAAAATGGACTCGATAGGTTTAGTTGTCAAGTTTGTCTATACACAGAAAGAAATTATTATACCTCTTCTGCTTTTCAGTAACTTGATAAAATGAGGTTGCATGGGAAATCACTTGGTGATAACAACAATCTTATATGTGCTTATTCAAATTCTTGGTCGTTTTCAATCTTAGGAATATTCTGCTAGAAAAGCTTTTCTATTCTGCAAATCATCAAAGATATTTGCCCCTGTGAGTAGACAATTCATTGATCCTGATACTTGCAACTATGAACTCCTTGTTCTAGGACAAAAAATTTCAGCACATCTGCCATAAATTGGTATGAATAAGTTGTGACATAATCATTACCTAACACACTCGGTATCATCTGTATAATTAAGTATCAGTACAGTGTCAAGATAATGAATTTGAAATAATGTTTTATGTTTGACTTGGCTAGATATCAGGGTAAAATAATATCCATATACTTAATCATTATATATAGTAGTGGAAATGAACTTTAGATGAAGTACATGCACTAAAGTTGCAAAATACCTTAATATTTCCTTAATTGGATTTCATAATCGCAGTTTTTTCCATTATATATGACTTGACTTTTTGCTTCAATTTACAATTAGTTTATCTCTAATTAGCAATTAGCAATTAGCAATTAGCAATATTAGATCCCATGGATGTTAAGAATTTGGTAGTTCTAGTGCTGTACTCTTTAGATGACTGAGGTTGTACTGAATCTTCATTCTTATCTGTTAGTCTTGCACTTCCCTTGCATGTTAACATTACTTTTATGCATATGTCACTTCACTAGATGCTAATGTGGTAAGGTTTCAAGTTCCATAACTAATTTGATATATCATAGGAAAGCTAATTTTTTTTCATTTTTTTAAGCTGCAAATTCTTTGCATTAAATAGTTTTGGATCTTTTTCACATTATCAAAGGGAAAAGTATTGATTAGGGTTATTCAAGGACATAATATAATAAAACAAATGAAAGTTGTAATAGAAATTGAAGAAGTAAAAACTGCATCACCTATTGTTCTGGAATATCTGGGATAAGCTGATGCAATTCTGTCCAGTTGTAGAACCTCTTAGCCTTTTTGTATTTATCACAAAGCTGAGATTTTAGTTTCCAAATAAGTAGAAAGTGAGTCCTTTGATCAGTTCACATCTGACATATTTTTAGTTGATGAGATTAAGATGATAATGTATTAGAACTTTGGGAAATTACTTTAGAATTTAAAAGTATCGTGGTTAATCAAATCCTGAGTCATTAAATGTTCTTGCAGTAATGGAAAGTTATGAATTACAGAGATGCCCCTTCTGGGCTGGAGTTTCTCTTCCAACACTATTGGACACTTTGAGACACAAATCTAACATGCTGTGTCATATTTTAACTTTTCTATATATTTTAACTTTTCTACAATCAAGGAACACTTCCTAACATGACTTGGACACATCAGGCACGCCATGTGGGTGTCTTGTATTCTCTAATTTCTCTGACATGTGGGACACATACTCATTACGTCAAGGACATGACAAGAACATTTTTATTAGAAGATTTATATGAAAAGTCAATGTGATGTGAGAATAACTATAGAAGCTTCATGTTGAACTATTTTATGTCTATCATATGTGCTATTCAGTACATGAATATTTTCTTCCATTGACTCTTGACACTAGTAGTAAAGAGAATAAGTGACACAGAAACGTAACAATTTGACGACAAATAATTTAAAAAAAATAAAAAATAGAACGAGGAATAGAAAGGGATCAGAAAAGAAATAAAAAAAAATTAGGGAAAGAGAAAATCAATTTGTTCATATATTTAAGGGTACGCATTATAATGAATAAGCACTCTTCATATAGACCAACTGAGCTAAAATTAAAAGAAGGAACTTTATGAAAATATTAAACTAATCTAATCTAAATAAACATAAATTGAATTAAACTTTATTTCAAAATCATATCTACACTTTATCTCTAAATCCACCAACAAGATATCTGGACAAATGGGCACTCTAATAAATAGGATTTCACATGCCCAATTCAAAATCCAAGGTAAAAGAAAGAGTAATGATTTTATTGGAAAATGGAAGTATTAAAACAAAGATAAAATATAAAGATGAATGATTTTTAAAGAATTTTAATCTACGTGTCTCGACATGTTCATGTTGTACTTTCTTTTGAAGAGTTATGTATCAGTGTTCCATGTTATGTGCTATTGTCTAGTGTCTGTATCCATGCTTCATGTATAGAAGCATAAATAAGATAGTGAATTCACAAATGGGAGAGAGGTGCCCAAGAAGAGGACAAGAAACCTGGCATACTTTCCGAAAAGTTGATAATAAACACGCCGCTTTCCCTGAAAGGAAAATGAGCTTTGATCCTCTGGACACTAGGCTTTCCCGTGGTTCGTGAGAAGGAAAAAAGACCTGTCCCCAGTTGCTTCTGGCAGGAGGTGTTAAATTTAAATATAAGTTCAATAAATTAATAAGTAAGGTGGACTTGATGAGGAAAGTGATGTGATGCGTAGAACTGAAAGTCGGATAAAATGAAGAATTGGTAGATAAATTCATTGATTGGTGATGCCTTTTGAGTTAGATGGCATCGAGTGTTGGTATCTTATATGACAAAATGTTCATGGGATGAATGTAATGGTTATAGGGTGTTAAACAAGACTCTAGATCCTTGACTATATTGGAACAGGTAAAATAAAAAATGAGAATATAAACTACCAAGTGAACGTGACCATACTGAAACAGGTAGAATAAGAAATGAGGATTATTTTACCAATTGAAGGTGAGGTGATCAATAGTATAAATTAATGAAATTACATTTTAGGTGGTTGGGACATGATAAAATTCTCACTCACAAGGGCGATGCAGTATTGGTAAACGCAATAGTCTAGAGAAGGGTGAATAAAACATTATTATATGGCCTGATGTGTTTGCATGAAAAAAATAAAATGTTTTTTGAAGTTTTCAATTAAAGTTGTGGTGGGTTAGATATAGTAGTAAAAAAGGATTCATTTAACTGACCAAAAAAATATTAAGAATAAGACTTAGAGCTTATTTGACACAGATTTTCCCAAGTTTAAAATCACTATTTTTATTTTTATTGTTATTATTATTATTATTTTTTTTTTAAGAATATGTGGTTAAAAAGTCGGGAGGAGTTGTTGTTGAAAGTACACTCAGGCCAAAAAAGCCTATTGAAATTGCTTGAATTTCATAGAATTAATTAATAACTTAATGTATTGAAGAAGAGTTAGTAAATCTTATTTGCCGGGTGCAAAAGTTGATGATTCTACATCAGCAGTGTAAGAATTAAAAGGGCGTGCTATGATGATTCCTTAGAGGAAAGTTTGACAATGTTAGTACTATTAGATTTAATTACACATAGCTGGCTAGCAATAAACATTAAATAAGCTACTGCATTTATCTTGGGGATAATTGCTTGGAACAAATGCTAAGCCAACTAAAACATATTAAAGCTTTTAGGTGTCAACTTTGTCTCCGCAGCAATAGAAAGAATATCCCTTCAAATTTTCAGTGGCTTGAAAGAATTATATTGTTTGAGAAATCATTTGGTGATAACAGCAATCTTACATGTGCTTATTCTAGTTCTCGATCATTTTGAACCTCAACAATGCTAAGCTAGAAAGGCCATCATCAAAGATATTTGCCAGTGTGCGTAGTCAATTCATTGATCATGATGCTAGCAACTATGAATTCATTGTTTGTGATGTTGTATTCTTGAGGTACCTGATATTATATTGGATTCCCATTCTTATTTGTTAATCTTGCACTTCCCTTTCTACATGTTAAACATTACTTTTATGCCTTTGTCATTTCACTAGCTACTCGTGTGGTAAAGACTCAATTCGGTAAATAATTTGGTGTAAAGAAGTTGCTGGAGAAATTTGGTGATCTGAGCTACATATTGAGTTATATGGATCAGTGTTGGCCTTACATGATAATATATTCGTAAGATGACCATAATGGTAATGAGATGTTAAACTGGATGTGTGACCATACTAAAACGGATCAAATGAGAAATGGGGATATATGCTACCAATTGAAGGTAGCCAATTGATAACATATGAATTTAATGGAATGACAATCTTAGGTGGTTGGCAGTTGGGACATGAGAAATCTTACTCGTGAGAGAAATGCAATGTTGGTTAAAAACGACACAGTAAGAAAAAAATAGATCAAAATCACTATTTGGCCTCGTGTGGTTGAAAAAAAAAAAAATTGATTTTGTTAGATTTTTCAGTTAATGTAGTGGTGAGCCAGTTATATTGAAAAAGGATTCAGTTAACCGACCCGAAATATGTTGAGAATAAGACTTAGTTTTGTGTTATTGCTGGTGTTGAACTTGCACTCTTGCCAAAACTCTATTGAAAAGGTTTAAATTTCACGAATGAAATATTAACTTAATGTATTGAAAAACAGAAAAACAGTTAGTAGTTCTTGTTTTGCGGAGTACAGAATTTGATGGCTCTACATCAGCTTTTAAAGAATTAAAAGGGCACCTATAATGATTGCTTAGAAGAAAATTAGTTACTGTCAAATATTACATCTTTAATTAGTAGTGAAGTAGCGGGCCAGAAATACAAACTTTGAATAGGCTTCTGCATTCAACTTTGTGATGATTGTTTAGAGCAAATGTTAAGCCAACAAAAAGCATATTAAATCCCATGGCTAAAAATGAAACTGACAGCCAATTGAGTGGCTCATGCAGTTCTAAGTCCCCTAATCATCATGGCTTCCTAAGCAGTCCCTAAAAGGTCACCTTTTTTTTTTTTTGGGTGAAGTGTCCCACTTTTATGCTGGTTAAACAATTTTACTGCTTGGTCCTGCAAAAATGATTGTTGATTTATTGTGATCAAGTTCTTTCTCTATGAAAAATTAAAATTGCTACTGTTGCATACTAACAATAGCTCTTTCTGTTCAGAGTGCTTTTGTTCTGCCCCAGAATCCATGTATACCATGCTTCTGCAACCCAACGATGCTGGACTGCGCTTTTCAATTTGTAAAATTTTTTGTCAAGTTAATTCCTCAATTTCTACTTATTTTACTTCTCCAGGTACAGCATGTGCCACATTTTACTTGTACTTTTTCTTAACTTTGTGGAGAATCCTATTTCTACATCTCAGTTTCTTTGGCCAGTTGATGTTGAATTAAAGATACGAAGTTCATGATATTTTGATTTCCATTTTACTTGGTCCCTTGTGATGCATTTCAACTTCTTAAATGTAATAAATACTAAATTGTTGGCAAGTGAGTGATCCTTCTCATGTTGGGAGAATAATGTCAAGTGAAAAACCACTCAAATAGAGTTCATACTTGTTTTTTTAATTTGTACATGGGACATCTTTGTTTGTGAAGATAATTTCTATCATAACTGATATCTTGGCGCATTGTCCTCCCTCTTTCTCCGTTGACATTGCTTTCAATCCTTTTTTTTTTTTTTTTAAATGACCGTGGGTGTCCAGACTAGCTTACACGCACCTCAACTAATCTCACGGGTCCTGAAGTTTACAGTCGAGTACTCACTTCAGTAGCGTTGAGAGGACTCGAAATGGTGACTATTGGAGAACAAACCCAAGGCCTGACTATTGACCTACCCTTTAGGATTAACTTTCAATCTATGTATGATGCAAAATTTTGAAGTGAGGTTAAATAATTCATATCGAACATTACTAAATTTTGGTCTCATGGCATAGCCCCTTTTCCCTTATATGGTTCTTTTGCCTATCTTGATTCTATTGTTTAGCACAAAGAGTCGCCAATCCAAAATGCTTGTTCAAATTGCATATTATGCTCTGTGTTATCACTTGTCTCAACATTTTGGGATGAAAAAGAAGGAAGATGAGTCCATGTGGAGACAGCCCCTATTCCCTTGAACCCGAATGAGAAAATAGGAAAGAATTCATCTGAAACCAATCACGACGAGGATTAAAAAAGGTGAAAAAATATAAAATAAGATTTGTAATTAGCAAAGTTAAAAAACCAGAGTAAGACCTTCATTCAATGATTCAAACAAGTTCTTTATGGACATTCGGTCTAGAAGTTGAAGTTACAACAGCTGAGTACATCAGACTCAACCCCACGATATTTCCCCCTGAATTTGGCAAAATCTACTCAAGATCATCTGCCTTCACGCCTGTTCTTCCTCCATTCCCATGGCATTTCTGGGTTAGATGCTGCCCATAGCCCGCCTCACTTTGCTCTTGCCTCCCTTTCCTACTACAATGATGTAAAATTAAAAATAGCTACTGTTGAATCCAGGAATACCATGGTTCTGCAACCCAACAATACTGGACTGCACTTTCAATTTGTAACATATTTTGTCGAGTTAATTCCCTAATCGCTACTTATTTTCTTCTCCAGGTACAGCATGTGCCACAAATTTACTTGTACTTTTCTTAACTTTGTGGGTGAATCCTATTTCTACATCTCAGTTTCTTTGGCCAGTTGATGTTGAATTAAAGATACGAAAGTCATGATATTTTGATTTCCATTTTACTTGGTTTCTAGTGATGCATTTCAACTTCCTAAATGTAATAAATACTAAATTGTTGGCGAGTGATCCTTCTCATGTTTGGAGAATAATTTAAAGTGAGAAACCACTCAAATAGAGATTATACTTATCTTTTTATTTTGTATATGGGACATCTTCTTCGTTTGTGGAGATAATTTCTCATAACCGATATCTGCACCCATTGTTCTCCCTCTTTCTCTGTTGACATTGCTTCCAGTCTATATATGATGCAAAAGTTTCAAGTGGAGTTAAAGTAATTCATATCAAACATTACTAAATTTACGACTGATGGCATAGCTCCCTTTCCCCTAGAATGGTTCTTTTGCCTATCTTGATCCTATTGTTTAGCACAAAGAGTCGCCTGTCCAAAATGCTGGTTCAAATTGCATATTATGCTTTGTGTTATCTATTGTCTTAACGTGTTTGGGATGAAAAAGAAGGGAAGGGAAGTCCATGTTGTTTTCCTTGGACCCAACCAAGAAAATAGGAAAGAATGCATCCTCAACCAATCACGGGAAGGATTAAAAATGGAGCAGAAAGATAAAATAAGATTTGTAATTAGCAAAGTAAAAAACCAGAGTTAGACCTTCATTCAAACAAGTTCTTTACGTACATTTGGTCTATCAACCACTAGATTGCCAAGATTACTACATTATAATCCTTAAATTGAAAAAGTTACAACAGCTGAGTACATCAGAATCAATCCCGCAAGGTTTGCCCTGAATTTGGCAAAATCTACTCAAGATCATCTGCCTTCACGCCTGTCCTTCCTCCATTCCCATGGCATTTCTGGGTTGGGCGCTGCCCATAGCCCAACTTGCTTTGCTCTTGCCTCCCTTTCCCACTACAATGATGTAAAAGCAAGCATTTTAGACTTGGAAAAGCTGAACAAAAATGGCTTAGAATATAGAGGAATCAGAGGGTCCACCTTATCTAATTCCGGACGCTTGTCATAGGCTTTATAATGCCATGCTAACCCCTTTTTAAGCATCACTTCCTGTGCATATCAAAAATTTAGAAGACGGGTTCTTGGAAGTTTCTATATTTTTTAGTGCATTCGGGTTCAAATAGATGAATGCAGTACCTGTACAAATATGCCATTGCAATATATGTCTCCCACAGAGCGACCATAACGATCTTCATCAAAAACCAGAACTCTTAAACACTTGTTATCAACAATTTTAGTCAGTTCTTCCTTTGCTTCTTGTCCATATGGCATTTCGCCCTCTGGTGCATCGATTCCCCTGTACATATCATATGTCATTCGCCTTGCATTATTCCTAAAAACATGAACTGCCTTATAACAGTTTCTTATACCTTAATCTTATTCGATATTTTCGTGCAAGAATCTGTTCATTTTGAACTGGTATGACCCTGCAAGAGGACACCTGCTGAGCAAAACTTATTCATGATAAAACTGCAAAAAACAGATGATTTATCATGGGGTCAATCAACCTATATCCTGAATCAATAATTTGTTGGTGCAGTTCATCTGCCCTTTCATAATTTCGCTGGGCGCGAGCTTCAGATCGTTGAACAACAGCAGCTTGCACTTTTCTAGGAATATTTGACAACTCCCTAGGATCAGAAGTGTTAACATATACCGTTATGGTATCTCCATCTGCCACAGCTTTTGCATCCACCTAACAGAATAGAGCGCACCTTATTAGTTGCTTAAATTTTAATTTGATCTGCAAAGGAATTTCAACAAAAATAAGTTTCTTTACCGCGATGGTGTGCAATTCAAACTTGAGTCCTGCCGGATCCGACTGAGGAGCGCCATGAGAAAGCTCAACCAGGGTCTGAGGTAGTGGAAGGCCATAAAAGGCCAATAATCCCTATATAACAAAGCACTGGCTGTTATAATCTGGTACCTTCTCTTGATAGTCTTTTAGCCCTCTAGCCCTTTATTTCTTGGGCATCAACACAGGGCTTCACTTTTGATATTACAAAGATCACCATACCTCCGTATTGGATCTTTTGATCAGCACTACCATTTTCCTTATGCAAAGGATACTCAGTAGAGGCAATTGCTGAGCATATTTATGATACTGCTCAAACTGTTCTTACTACTCATCCTAATATTATCACAGTCGCAAAAACAAAAAAAGTAAATATCATTCGTCCCTACCAAGCACACTAGACCAGACCACACCACACCACACCATCCATCCGTCCACCCTCAACCCCAGCTCCACCCCAGCGGAATATTGTACACATGAGACATGCCATTTATTTACATGTAAATTTTTGAAATGGACCAAAAATGTATTTTTTGCTCCTGTAGTATAGTCAATGCAGTGATAATTCTACAGAATCACAGTTTTTTTCTTTAGATACCTCAACATCAGCCTTCTGAAGTTTCTTCAAGGTCTGAATTACTAGCCTTGAAGCTTCTTCCGGTGTTTTTGGCGGCGGTTTTGATTTTCTCCATGCATTAGCAAGTTTCTTATACCTTTATTTGTCATCAAAATACCCATTAATCAAAGTGAAACAAAAAGGGAGTGTAGATCACAGACCTTGATTCAAAATTATATTGCTTAGTTCTTCCAAATTTTGAGATTGAACATGCAGAGATTACCAGTTAGCCTGAGTTTTCTTGGTTGAGACAACATGCTGACTGAGTCGTTGAGGAACCTTCAAACCGAAGAAAGGCAAGTAAAATTCTTCTATGCACAAGAAAACTGAAATTAAACTATCCCACAGCTTTAAATTGTTCCAAAGGCACAATCCTTTTTCAACAAAGTAATTTTTAACAAATAACTTGGTAGGTACCTGGGAGGTAATTTCAAAGTTGTAGAGATCGTGGGCTAAGGCTGAAACGCCAAGGTTGTCGGTGGTGACGCCGTGGTGGCCGAGAGAATCATCGGCGGCGGAAGGCTGGAAGCATTGGCCATACAAGAATCTTAGAGCATTTCCCATTACATTTCTCATTGAGGAAACCATTCTCTTTGATTAGATATTTTTCCCTTTCTGATCAGGTGATTAAGATCAATGAATCTGACGCTAAACAATGAATCAATTTGGATCTTTTCAGGAAAGAAAAAGCTAAAGGTGTGGTTGGGTTGACTACTTGACTACATCTATTTTCATGGAGTTATACTATAGTTATAAAGGTGTTGGCAAAGTTAGATAAAGTTGGATGACAAAATTTCATCCACACCTATTATTTCAAAAATAAATTTTTAAATTATTTGAAATCAATGGTCAAAATTTTGCCAACATACTTTGTAATCCAACTTTGTACAAGTAGCTTTATTGATTTTCATGTGACTCGTCACTGAGTAAAATTTGCAAAGTGGAATTGAGGACACATGGCTAGTGATGATTAGTTATTGCTTTTTTTTTCTACCTATTAATTTGGGCTACATATATATTATAGTATCCATAAGGATGTCGTCCATAATGTACATGTGACATAACATCGTTGGAGGGTTAAAAAACAACTTTTTGAACCCTCCAATTATGGAATTTCACATGCATATTATGGACATCCTTAGGAAATCATAATGTACACGTAAAATTATATATGTATATTTTTTTCCGTTTCAAAGGGGAAAAAAAAGAACTTGTAATTATCTGAAAGTTGTGCAGGTTTTCATCTCTCTTTCCACGTATATTTTGCCTGTTATACTAGAATAATTTGGTTGCCATAATTTTGATGAGAAAAATTACTTAACAAAAAATGGAAATTGAATATAGCAAAAGGCCTTACTTGTCTGGCCCTTCCCTTTTTTAATTCTTCACATAATTACATGATTAAGTAAAGAGTAATGCTATTCATAGTCGTTCATTGCAGTAGTTGTCACATGTGACATACACATAGTAGGTGATTATTTGATGCATTAATATGGTAGTTTTCTATTGACTCATGTATTAAATAACCACCTGTCATGTGTTTGCCACGTAGGACGATTGCTGTAATAAGGGACTACGAATAACATTATTCTTAAATAAATACTGTAAACAACAAATTAAAGAACAATTTTTAAAGAACATCTGGTTATATTTTGTTCCAAATTATTAAATAGTTATGATTCTGATGTGCCCTTTGGTGACCATTTTTTTGAATAGATATTGTTTTAAATAGTGATTTTTTGAAGAATTTGTTGTTAAAAATAGAAAAAAAATTAGTTTTACGTGTAAAATATTTTTATCTTGTGAATGTGCAGTTAAAATGAGTATATAAAAAAAAAGTTTTGAGCTATATAACGCTCCAATTATACATCTAAACAGATTATGAGCCAAAGATATTATTTATAAATGGTCAAATTATTTTTTTGCCTTAGTTAGACGTAGATTAAAATAAAAATTTTAGTAAATTTTGATAAAAGTTGATGAAATATATGATTAAAATGTTGTGAGTCCCATGAAATATATGATTAAACTTAATTGTTGACTTTACCTTGAGATTAATATCAAATTTTAATATATAACAAAACAAGGTCTTTATTCAAATATTTCGTGAGACCTACACCAATTTATCGTCACTCATTTATATCTATATAATTTAAATCATGTCTGGATATTTCCAACCTCATATAAAATATGATGCAAAACTTTCAAGAGTAGTTAAAATGGATGAGAATTCATATCAAAGTATCAAACATTACTGGGTGGCATGGCCCTTTCCCTTAGATGATTCTTTTACCCATCTTGATCCTATTGTTTAGCACACAGAGTCACCTGTCCAAAATGCTTGTTCAAATTGCATATTATACTCTGTGTTATCACTTGTCTTGGCATGTTTGGGATGAAAAAGAAGGGAAAGGCGAAGTCCATTGGAGACACCCCATATTCCCTTGGACCCAAACGAGAAAATATGAAAGAATGTATCTTAAACCAATCATGAGAAAGATTGAAAATGAAGCAAAAATATAGATAAGATTTGTAACTAGCGAAGTGAAAAACCAGAGCAAGTCATTCATTCAAACAAGTTCTTTATGTACATTTGGTCTATCAACCACTAGATTGCCAAGATTACCACATTATAATCCTTAAATTGAAGAAGTTACAAACAGTTGAGTACATCCGATTCAATCCCACAAGATTTGGCCCTGAATTTGGCAAAATCTACTCAAGATCATCTGCCTTCACGCCTGTCCTTCCTCCATTCCCATGGCATTTCTGGGTTAGATGCTGCCCATAGCCCAACTCGCTTTGCTCTTGCCTCACTTTCCCACTACAATGATGTAAAAGCAAGCATTTTAGATGAGGAAAAGCTAAACAAAAATGGTTTAGAATATAGAAAAATCAGAGGGTCACCTTTTCTAATTCCGGCCGCTGGTCATAGGCTTTATAATGCCATGCTAACCCCTTTTTAAGCATCACTTCCTGTGCATATCAAGAATTTAGAAGACGGGTTCTTGAAAGTTTCTATATTTTTTTAGTGCATTTGGGTTCAAATAGATGAATGCAGTACCTGTACAAATATGCCATTGCAATATATGTCTCCCACAGAGCGACCATAACGATCTTCATCAAAAACCAGAATTCTCAAACACTTGTTTTCAACAATTTTAGTCAGTTCTTCCTTTGCCTTTTGCCCATACGGCATTTTGCCCTCTGGTGCATCGATTCCTCTGTTACATTTCAAATGTCATTAGCCTTGCATTATACTAAAAACATGGTTTGCCTTGAAACAGTTTCTTGTACCTTAATCTTATTCGATATTTTCGGGCAAGAATCTGTTCATTTTGAACTGGTATGACCCTGCAAGAGAAAACCCTGCTGAACAAAACTTGTTCATGATAAAACTGCAAAAAACAGATGATTTATTATAGGATCAACCAACCTATATCCTAAATCAATAATTTGTTTGTGCAGTTTATCTGCCCTATCGTAATTTCGCTGGGCACGAGCTTCAGATCTTTCAAAAGCTGCAATTTGCACATCTCTAGGAACATTTGACGACTCCCTAGGATCAGAAGTACTAACATATACCGTTATGGTATCTCCATCTGCTACAGCTTTCGCATCCACCTAATGGAATAGAACGCACCTCATTTGTTGCTTAAATCTTAGTCCCTGTTTATCTACCATTAAAGTCGGAAAATGAGTTTTGAAATAGTGAATCTGTGAAGAATATGCGGTTAAAAATTAGGAAAAAATTTTGGATTTTACGTGCAAAATATTTTATTGTGAGAATGTATAGTTGAAAATGAGTTTGAGAAAAATGAGTTTTGAAATAATGATAGACAAACAGGGGCTTAATGTGGTCTCTAATATAGTTTCAACAAAAATAAGTTTCTTTACGGGGAGAGTGTGCAATTCGAACTTGAGTCCTGCCGGGTGCGACTGAGGAGCGCCATGAGAAAGCTCGACCAGAGTCTGAGGTAGCGGAAGCCCATAAAAGGCCAATAATCCCTATATAACAAAGCACTGGCTGTTATAATATAGTACCTTACTGATCTCTTGAATGGTTGCTGGATTAATGAGTAGAACAAGAAACTAGACATTAATGTTTTGATGAAGTTTTAAGGTGGTCATTCGACTTCATTTTGATCTAATTTGGTTAATTAATTTTCAATTTTATTCCAGTTTGATCATTCTACCGCCAGCAATTGAGGCAAAATTGAGAAAACTGAAAATAGGAAAGACGAGAAAAGTAAATATTATTCATCCCAGCCAAGCAAAGGATAGTACAGCACAGCACACCAGACCAGACCAGACCAGACCATGGGTGGATCTACAGTAGGGAAGGTGGTGTTCGCTGCCCTCACACTAAATTTGAAATCCAAAATTTTGCAATAGATTTTTTCAAGATTTTCAAAAAAAATTCTTATAATTTTCAACTTCGCCAACACAATTAAAATTTTGTGAAATTTGCCCCCTACAATTCTACTCTCGTGGCTCCGCCCCCTGGACCAACCACACCATCCCTGCACCCACAACCTCGACTCAGCCTCACTCCGGGGGAGTCTTGTACACATGAGACATGCCATTTATTTACAATAAAGCTACTCGTACAATTGTTATTGACAAAATTGATGTCAAAATTTGGACTATTGATTTGAAAAACAGTTTCTAAAATAAATGAATGTGATGTAGCCAATTGTGTGTTATCAACCTAGATTGTAAAAATATATATATATATATATATATATATATATATATTATATTAATAATATGATCGATTCATTTAACATGTGTTGCGTAAGCTCTCTCAAAAGGATCTTCAAACGGTGATTTTCCAGGCTCAGTCCAACGTACCTTTCTCTACCAACAACCAATCCACACAGCTCCAAACCACAACCAAATTGATTCATCTTGGTTGCTATACAATCTTACCCACGTAGGACAAGAAGGGATGATGATTTATCGCCACAAAGGCTAGGAGAAGACACCACAAAGGTATACTATGAAAGAACTACCAATTGCACACGTTATACAAGCGTTTTGGACACTTCTGGACACCTTTTTCTCACACAAAAGGAGGGCAGCCGGGATTCACTAGTTTCTTTTCTCAAAATCACACAATCATCATCACAAAGAGGCTAGGGTTATATTCATATATATACTCTAGGGTTAGGCTTTAAGTTGGGCCACTAAAGGGGTAAGCGGGCCAAGATTCAAGCCATCCATAAGGAATACAATTGGGCCGGGTGTAGCTCATGGACTTGGTTGTTGGACTTATTTCATTCATCGGCCTATGCCTATGAAATAATATTAACCCACGTTAACATCATAGCCCGGGATTTATTGGGTATCAAAAACCCAACAACATGCAAACTTAACACGAAATGAAATGGACCAAAAATGAGGTGTTTTTATTTTTATTTTTTTTATTTTTTTTTATGCTTTAAGGGAGTCAATGCAGTGATAATTATACAGAAGCACAAATTTCATTTTAAGTACCTCAACATCAGCCTTCTGATGTCTCTTCAAGGTCTGAATTACTAGCCTTGAAGCTTCTTCCGGTGTTTTCGGTGGCGGTTTTGTTTCTCTCCACGCATCAGAAATTTTCTTATACCTTTATTTGTCATCAAAATTCCCAATTTATCAAAGTAAAACAAAAAGGGAGTGTAGATCACAGACCTTGATTCAAAATTATATTGCTTAGATCTTCCAATTTTGAGATTGAATA